TTAGTACGTTAGTAAGTACGTTACGTACCGTAAACTTAGTACCGTAACTTACTACTATAGATANACGAACGAGTAGTAGTTAGGTAAGTACTTAGTAAGAAAGTAAATAAATAAATAAATAAATAAATAAATAATATATATATATATATATATATATATATATATATATATATATTCCTCTGAGGACAATTTAGAGGGGAAGGTATCCCTTACTTGTTGTACAAATGGTCGGAAAATCTTGCCGCCCTAACCACCTTGAACCCATTTGAAGTGAACAGTAATATGTAGACTGTACTAAGTAAATATTAAATTTCCCATTATTGTTAAATTTTGGGAAATTCTCAAAATATATCTAGTTGCTCAACAATGTAACACTTCAATTATTCCAAATGTGTATTTTAATAGGTATTTTGAAATTAATTCAGAAGATTTGGATAAAATATTAAAATAGTTGAACTCGTTATGTATTGGAAATGTCTCCAATGAGACCATTTACTTTCGATATAAGGACGTTACAATCATCATTGACCGTTAGATTTGAAATCTGATGATTGAAGACATGTGATTGTTTGGGTACAAAGTCCAAAAAAAAAATTCTCAAATGTTGTGACACACTTTCATCTATTGGATTTCACATCTAGAGGCCAAAAATGATTGTGACCTCCTAGTACCAAAAAGAAATGGTTTCATAATATACCATCCCGCTATATATTTCAATAAATTTCCCTTAAATTTTGAATCTACTTAGCCTCTTTTGTTATCATCTCCTTCGTCATTCTTATGATGTTCCTCCTTGCAACTGCTTCGATCTTCAACCTCAACCCTAAGTATGATCCTTAATAGGTTCGAATTCTAATAGGTAATATCTTCTTCAGCTTTATATTGCTTGATTCTAATTAGCTCAATTAAGCCCTTAATGCAAAGAAATTAACTTCTTAATGCCATTAGATGGCAAGAGAAGTATAAAGATATTATGTCAGGTCTTAAGACTTTCAACCAACCATATAACTGGTAATATGATCAACCCGGACACTGGACTCTTTAAGGAGAATTTTACTTGTACAAACAGTCATTTTATTTTTAATAATTTACAAACAATGCTCTTTCCGATAGAACTCATTTGATATTGTGAACCATATAAGTTTGTGAGCGGATTATGCTCGACAGACTAGATTTAACAATCTGGATGATATGTGGGTTCGGCATTTTCATAAATTCTTTTATGAAAGGTTTTGTTTTTGTTTTTTTTTGTTTTTTGCTTACCTGGTTTCTGGTTCAAAAAGGAAACAGAAAATGAAAAGATCCACATACAATGCTCAGATTGAATCTATGCCATCCAGCCTATACTGTTCAATAGGCCAGCCAGCTTACATAATCATTTTTCACAAAAGTAGGGACTTATTTTGTGAGTTGGCTGATCTATGCTTAGTATAGTCTGGAAGGCCTAGATTTAATAATCTGGAATGCCCATATCCACCGACAGGCTACAAGGGCATGTTCATTATTTGTTCCTTGTTCATGATTTTTTAAAATATTGTTTCTTGTATACCTAGGTATCGTGCACCTCTCTCCACAAAAGTTAAAAGGGTTTAGAAAAAAAAAAAGGCACCCTTACATTCTAATTTAAAAGGGTTTAAAAAAAAGAAAAAAGAAAAATAAAAAAAAAGAAAAGGCCCCCATACATTGTAGTCATTGAATATGCTCAAATTGAATTTAAGCCACCTAACCTATACTATTCAATAGGCTCACAAGATCATTTTCTTTAAAAGAAACTTAATTTTGTGATCTGGACAACCTATGCTACACTAAAGGGGACAAAGATAAGTGCATAGGCATTTTTGCAATTAATTCTTTTTTTTTTTTTGTGCTATATCATATATCTCTTCACGAAATTTCAATTCATAATAATTTAAAAGATGTATGTACATGGACAAGGATAACTGCATAGGCATTTTTACAATTAAAATTTTTTTTTTTTGGTGCACCTATATTTCATATATCTCTAACAAAATTTCAACTCATAATAATTTAAAATATGTATGTACATGCTGTTATACTATTCAATAACCAGCCGGCTCACGAAATCATTTTGTATAAGAGAAGAACTTGATTTTGTGAGTCAGCCCAGTATAGTCTACACTAGACAACTTAGGTTTAACAATCTGAACTGTACGCAAGTGCAAAGAACAGGTGCATGGGACCTCCTTTTTTTTTTGCAAAGTGGTCATAATGTAAGATTTTGAAGTAGATAATTTGACGATTTTTTTGCGCAGTGATCATAATGTAAACGGTGGAAAATTAAAATTTCCCTCATGACAACTTAGCAAAAAAATGTGAAATGCCAAACATTAATGTGAAGTGAAGGGAAAAGGCTTCCATACTTCCCCTACAGCATAGAAGATCTATGATTCTCCAACCATCCAGCCATCCAATTTTGATTAAGTGAACCACTCACCGTTTGATCTTTAGATCAAACACCTAAGAATATTTTATTTTTAATTTTTATACAAACTTTATGAATATAAAATTTCATGCATGCCATCTTCTCATTGGGGTACTATTATAAAAAATATTGTAAGTAAATTTTGTATAAAATATAATGACCACAATACCCCTTAAAAATCCATTTTTAAGGTAAATTTTAGTGGGGGCCCACACGTGTTCATATGAGTCGGCTGACTCATAAAACCGCATCCATAGGAAAATGTTTTGATAGGGCTGCAAAAAAGAAAAACCCAAACAAGGAAAAAAAACACTAGGTATTTACAATTCTAATCCATGATGTCTTCAATCTCTGTTCCTATGCGACATTTGCCTATCATTTGACACACCGGGTAATTGTCTATCATCTGGAACAAACTCGAAATAAGATCTAGTGTGATAATTAACTGTGAAATAAGGACTGCGGAATGCCAAATCTGCAAGATGTTATGATCTATTGAACCAATAAAATGCTTACAAGATAACCCACCAACTTGCCCTCCATACATGTGCCTGTCCACCTAGCAAGATCGACAATGTAGTATTCATCATCATGGATCTCGAAGCGCATGTCCACTGCCCATATCAAGTGATGGAAAACCTAGTCTTCTGCTTCCACTTGTCTGTACAAATGGTACTAGTACTCAGCTACATTTACTTGCGCCGTGAATTTATCTGAAAATCTGATCATCAGCTTTGTTCAAATCCATTAAGCGAGTATAGTGATGTTTTGTCAGGGTGTTTGTCCTGATTCACGTTGTACATCATTTGTTTCTTGGTCAAAATCTGATTGCTCATGCAACAACCTTTGACACTTCCTGCTACTCATTGGCTTTGAGCCAGTGGCTAATGAACCTTTACCAATTGGAGATTCAGGTACGTGCTCATTTATCATGCTGCTCACCCAGAAGTTAATGTCCTACCAACCTTTGAGCAGTGCACGCACCATATATCCCCATCTGTTACGCAGTTCACCCATAAGCATTGGCTCTCACTTTTCACAAACTTCAAAACAAAATTGTGCAATATAGCAAACTGATTAGTGTACATGACATGTGCATTCTCAAAATCATGATCCTTTTGAAGTACAACCATGTTGGCTTATTCTGAATGGGCATGCTATTAGATTGATACCTTTAATCACACTTTATCTCTATCTCCTGCTTATCTCTATCTCCGCTTGGTCTCTACCTTGATGACTCATTCCACACAATATGGCCCCGGAAAGGCATGCTCCTCACAGTATTTGGTTGACCTTGGTGCTAACTTTGAGTTCTTGAATGATTATGTTCTGCATTATTAAAAAAGAAGCCGACAAAATACTTATCTCTTGTCCTAAGGCTATGAATGCTTCTGGAATCATATGTATGACTATTTTAGGCTATGAACTAATCTCTTTTTACCAGAAGCATTAATTTTTTTTATCCTTCTATTTGAATTAGTTGCATAGATTGATTTTCATTAGTCACTAGTTACAAGCATGCAACAAAGTTACGACCAGCAAGTATTAGAGAAAATCACAGTAGAGCGAATGAGATGTCATGCCCTTACAACAAAAAGGTAGGTTTCCCATACTCGACCAAGAGGCTGGATGCTCCAACAAACCAAATACCCATTTCACTACGAGTAGAAAGCACCCCATTGACCTTATATGGTTAATATGCATAAGTACCATATTGAGTCCAAGTGATTTTAAGAGATTTAGGCCTCCAAGGTAGATAAGAAACATCTAACTCAAGTCTTTAACAACTAGAGGAGCTTTAAACACCATTGATAGAGGTATGTTAATTATAATGTTGATGCTCTTGCCTCTCAAGTATCTTACATATCTGTCAACAAATTGGGGGAAAAAAGAAAAAGACAAAAAAAGGGATCTTCGATGAATATTGAATGAAAATATGTAACTAGAAAGTGAGATCTACCTGCAGATATTACTATATATTCATTGCTAGTGATGTTCATAACAGGTCAAATGGTATACATCCGCTAGAGCTTAGAATCAGTCACCTTTCTTAAACAAATAAGTGAAGCATTTATACATGCATACATGTGTGACATACATACATTCGTGTGTGTGTGTCTGATAAGTCATACAAATTCAAGAACAAATAGGCTTCCCTTATTTGTCTAACGTGTATGAATAGGCTTCCCTTGTTTGTCTAATGCCATATGAGCCAATACTTGTGTTCTAGTTGCACCAGTTACCTTTCTTAAACAAATAGTTGAAACATTGATAAATATATACATGTCAGAAAGACATTTGTTTGCATTTGTCAAGTAATTTAAACCAATTCATCTAAGATTGTACCAAATAAATACAAAACAATATTAGGGTTTCATGGAATTGGCTCCACAAAGGATTAGGGGACCTAGACTTGTATGGAATCAGCACTATACAAGGACTAGGAAGAGAACCTATAAATTGTATGGAATTGGCACCATATAGAATCAAGGTTCCTTGAGGAATCAACAGAACAAGATACGGAGGATTAAGCACCTTATCGATGGAATTCACAACCATAGCTTAAAGAAGCCACTCTTAATTAAATTCTCAAGTTATATTGTGTAGCCTTGTTTTTTTTCATAAGTATTTCATTGCCTGGAGTTACGCTCAATGCATGTGTCATGGTGGCTTCTTGGCTCAATTCCTTGTTGGGCTTAGACTCCAAGTAATTCTAGATTTGCCATAGAAATTCTACTTTCAAAATTAAAAACTAGGAAAATCTTTATAATAAGCAAGCTCCTATTGCATAAAGGAATTTCTCATTAAAAGGAAACTAAATCTTTGCAACCTTAGTGACAATTATCATTATAGGGATATTCTCGATGGAGGGTTTTATCGGGATATTATCGCATATCTTTTCATTTGAAAATGAATCAAATAATTATCAGGACTTTAATCTATTTAGTCAACTATATTGTTCGTTGTACAATAAATTCTTATTAACCTTGATGAATTTGAATTCAAATTATACACAAAAACTAAATATGTTAAAAAGTTTATAAATGATAAAATCCACTATTTGCTAATGTAACTCAAAAATTGAAATATTAAAACTCATTATCAACCTTAACAACTTTAACTTCATATTCATTATTAGTGACTTGCAAATTGCTCCCCAATTGTTCCACTGAGATTTTCAGGGCTATTTTTTGGTAATTGAATATTTCTTCTTAGAGTCAAATTGCTAATTTTGCTTTCATATTTACGATCAAGAAAGCTTCTTATTGTGATAATATGATAAATTCATTTTATTGGGATATTTATTTTGTTGGGATAGTATTAGAGTTATTATTGGCAATATAACTGATTGTGATAAAATTGAGAAAATTTCAATTTATCAGGGATAATTGTCACTAAGCAATCCAGTAACATAGGAAACTAAACCCTAGAATTTCAACGGGATCTATAAGACTCAATCCTATTTGGAAATTTGGAAATAGAGAAATTAAACCTAATATTTCTCACTAAAGCCATAATCAATTTTCTGCCCAGGCAACAAATGTTCACATGCAACCAAATGTAGAAAGCCAGGTGCTGTGGTAACATTGCTCCCAACTTTGTAGGCTATACAAAGTGCTTAGCGGCAAATATTTTTCAATATATTATCAACAAGGAATTTTGCCAGGAGATTATGGGTAGAACTTTTCTATATATTATTTATATAGAACTTATGCAAAATTCACCTAACTTAATATATTATTTATAAAAAGAACTTATGCAAAATTTATTAATACACTAACTTGATATATTTTTATAAAAAGAAGGCTTTACCTAAGCATAATAAAAACTGAAATTTATTTATACAAAAATGAAAACACAAATATGCCATAATAATTATATGATTCCAAAGATTAATACATTCATCATCGAGTCCAAAATAACATAATCCCATACACATTTTAATTTTAAATTGGAATATCAAGATATTATTACTTATTTTATGCAAGTAATTAATAATGAATGGATATCTCATCCGTGATCACTTTCATATAATTTTTTTTTATCTTTTCTAGGTAACTTATATATGCAATAAAATATCCTTTGATTTAGGCATACCAATTTGGATAACTTGTCTTTAATGATAATCATTTTTATCAAATGTATTATATATATGTCCATTAAAGTGTCTTATTTAGGAAAGTGGATACTTTTTAAGCAAGTGTCATAAAGGATTTCAGGCTTTGACATTCAAATGACGAGTAACTACACATGATTTTTTCTAATTAATTAGTACCCAAATCATATACACATGATTTTTCCTTATTAATTAGTACCCAAATCATACCCCCAAAGGTTTCTCATAATATACAAAACCAAGATCCATGACTTGTCGGATCATTAACATCCATGGTACCATTCTAGATTCCCTGGATGACGATTCTAGAGAAACCACAAATCGAAAGGTGCGATCCATGTATCAACGTTTAAATGTAGGAAAGGGGTTAGGGTTTTATTAGTTAAGGTGTTAATGATAGCAACGGCCAACACTACAACCCTATTCTAAAACTTGTTTGGTTAACCATTAAAAAAAAAAAGAAATGTTTAAGAGCAAGTACCTCCCATGAATCTTTCTTCGCTGCAATTAAGATGCTTGACTGAATGCCATGTAACTCACCTCCCTCATGAAGTTGCGGATAAAAGCAGAATTGTTGATAGCATGAACCCTTGCTGATGAAGGCTATATTATCATTCTTCATGAAAGATTGTGCTCCTCTCATGGTGTTATGCATAGAAATTATTCTCTTGCATACTATGATGAAAAAAAAAAAGTTGAATTGTTTTCAAGCTTGCCAAAAAGCTCACACTTGGCTCTCATCATCAGCGTCAAATTTTTTTCCCAACTAATTAAGATCGACTACAAGAATCCTGATCCTCCTGCTCTATTAAAAGTCATACCTTCAGTGAGACCATAAATCCCCATATCTTTTCGTACCTGGCTCTATAGTTTATATACATGTCATTCTTTTTGTGACATGTCCCTTTTAGGCTCAACATACATGTTTGCTAGGTTACACTATAATGATACCTCTACATGCCATTTGTATTGTGAAAATACTCTTTGCGTCATTCTTTTTGTCAAATTGCTCTTTAAACAAAGTATACATTTCATTCCTTTTGTGACATGCTCCTCATACAAGTCACAAAACAAGTCACTTTTTTTGTGAGATTGCTTTTTAATGCAAACTATGTGTTGTTCTTTTTGTGACATTTCTTTAATAAGTTTATCCAACCAAATAAAACATTGGAGCATCGCAACGTTGCGTTATCAACTTCGCACAAGGTTTGTGTTAGGATACATCCAATTGCTTGTTGGAATGACAACTTGATCTCTGAAACTAACTAGTGAAACAGTTTTTGCCATTTGAAAGTAGTTGGCGCTAGGGCATAGAATTTACCGAATTTCGATCCGAATCCCGAATTTTGGAACCTATCCGGATCCAACCCAATTCTTAAAATAGTATATATATATATATATATATATATATATAATTTTTAAAACTTTAAGAAGACCCAAGCCCCAACGTATGTTTATAGAAGATGAACGAGAGGATTGAATCCTCGCTTCTCTCTCTCTCTCTACACATGAATTAGGATTTCTCTGTAAAACCATGATTTGAAGTTGCAGCAGATGCCGCCGGCATAATTTTCCAGTGGGTTTTTTGGTGAGCTAGGTAGATATCGTGTGTGACATACTCTGTCACTCCTTATGTCTTCATTAAATCATTAATTTCTCTCTCTACGCTCCTTTCCCTCCAGTGTATTGCCATTTCTCTCTCCTCCACACACCTCTAATTGTTTGCCCTAAATAGATCAACCCACTCAAATACAACCCTTTTGTTGCCCTCTCTCTCTCCCTCAAGCTTCCACTGTTTGGTGGCTCTAATGGCCAATGCTCCAGGAGACCTCAATGGTTACAGACCATAGAAGGGCAGCCATTTTCATGGCATCTTCATAAGGCCAAACTTTCATCTTCATCAATGGCTCTCCGAACTTTGACTGTATGTCCAGCCTCTTGTGTGCAGAGGACAACAGCAGCATCTTGGAGTGGGATGAGATATACCACTGCAAATCAGATGATTGCGTGGGTACTTTTCAGATCTGGATCCTAGCATTTTGTATCCGAATGGTTTTGGATCCGGATCCCACGTATACTTTTCAGATTTAGATCCGAATACAGACCCAATTCAAAAAATTCTCAGCCCTAGTTAGGCTTCTTAGCCAAAAGTACTTGAAAACAATCTCACGTGAAGATAGGATAGAGAAATATATGAATAAATATATCAAATTAGAAACGTTCTGCTCAGCGTATCCAAAAATATTTTCTTTATCCAAATTCCCTACATCTCTAGTGCGTGCGTGTAATCCTTGTCCCTAAACTCCTAAATCCCTATTTCTCTATCTGTTTATCTCTAGTTTTAAATAGTAGAATTTCCTTATTCATTAGTGCATCGAATAGGGAATTAAAATATAATATTAATATAAAACATGAGATCTTCTTCAGTGAAGTATTGTGCATGGTATTGAATCTATTGACATCAGAGAAACTCGGGTACAATGGACTTTTTTCCTAAAAGGAAAGTAGTAGCATCATCTTCTCCTTTGGGGTTATTTTTGTCGACTTAGAAATATTATCAACCTCTTAGAGGTTCATGACCATTCGTCTTTCTCAGAAAAGGAGGGCGTAGTCTTGTTTCCCCCAAAGTAGAGAACGCGCACCCAAACCTCTCAACATGGGACATTAGCTGAAAAATATCATTTCTTCACTTACCAATTAATAACACATGCCAAGTTCCAAAAATGTAACTTCATATTATAAAATAGTACTCTAACAAATTAAATCCTTTAAAAGTCCAAAAATGACAAACAGGTGAAGCTTTATGATTTTCAAAAAAAAATACCAAAACCACACAAGGGAAACCACAAAAGTGACAGGGGTAAAATAGTACCTCAGAAGGCTATAGAGATACACAGAAAGGAAAAACGTGGTTTCCAAACATACCAGGTGTTATTCCTCAAATGGATATCACATTAACGCTGGTATGCTTGTCATTTTAACAAGCAACTGGAAATATACTTCTTGAAAATTGTACAAAGTTGAGAATGCAAGGATTGGAGAATTGCTACTCTAGTTTTTGTGTGTAACAAGTTTTGATGTGGTTGAATAAACGCAGCCAAAGAGCGGTATCATAAAAGAACGGCATAAATAATTTGCATAAAAGAGCAATGTCACAAAGGATATCATGTTAGAGTTTGCATTTAAGAGCAATGTCATAAAAAGAACAAGGACCTAGTTTTTATGAGTCTATTTAGAAATGAGACGCCCCTTAAAAATCTATTTTTTGAGATGGATTTTTGGACTTAATTTTTAAGGACATGCAATCTCTAACATGGAAATCATGAATATGAACAAATGAATAAATTTCAAAAATTAGAAATAACAATTTTATTAAAAAAACATTTGGACCGTTAGTTTCAATTGTTTTTAGATGGACCACCTATTTGCATCCATCTTAAAGATGGATGGTTTATACCTCTGGACCGCATATGTAGAAATGTAGAAATGTGGTCCAACCCACATGAAACAATTTTCCAAAGAACAATAGGTATAATTTGCATGACAGAGCAATATCATAGTTTGCATGTAAGGCAACGTCACATAAAGAATGGCATATGTATCAACTACAGATCGAAACTGCGAATTACTTTGACAAACCTGAAAACAAAGCATCTTCTCCTTTTTCATCATGGTACAAGAGAAAACTGTTCATGTGTAATACCATAAGGGGAACGCACAATTCTGTAGAATGAGAAAATACTCTTCATTAATAAGGGTTCACGCCATCAGTAATTTTGTAAGTTAATAGCAACTCCTACAAAGAGTTTTTCAACATTGATGTTCAATCAAACATCTCGTTTCGGCAAATAAAGATGGACAAGAGGTACTCACTCAAAAAAACAAAGTCATGCAATCTCACACACGCACACAATGATAAAAATGTGTGTATTTTGGTTAGTGAAGTGGTTGGAATCAAGCTCGGGATGCATTGTTGCAAGTGCCGACACCTTAACCAATCAAGCCCAAGCCTGAGTCTTAATATTCATCAACATAAACATCCCTTTGTGGTTGGTGGTTATGCTCTAGACTCACAATATCCTCTTCATGTATATATTTGTTGGAATCACTATATAAACACAGACCCAGACACACACTAAGAATCTACATTTCATTTAGTTGTTCAAGACTGCCAATCAATTAGCTTCAATATGACAAAAATATAGAGCACAAGAGAAAATTCATTCAACCAAGAAATAAAGCATGCTACACTGCACTTTGGGACAAATGGTGTTAGCAATCATCTATAGGACCAACATAAAAGAAAATATCTAGGCTTTGGTGAACTGTATATTGTTGTTGACATTTAGTGAAAATCTCTAGCAATCAACATAGTTACATCTCCAGGCAGACGCCTTCCTAATCATATAACACCTCACTTGTTATCTAAGATCCTTTTTTATTTGAGAGATATATCTAACATCCTTAAGAGCCAAGAGCGTTTGCAATACCATTGACATTTCTATATGTACAGCATGTTCTCAAATCCGTAACTTAAAACTCCTCTAATAATTTTGAAGACTTGAAGTAGTTCTTCCTAGCCACTCTTAAAGCACTAGGATGCGAGGCAATTGGGTACATCTGCCGATTGAGCAGGTAAAGGTCCATAGTGAGCTTATACTTGTTGTAAACTAGGTATTTGGTTCATTGGCAGTTGAGACTATTCATTTTCCTTTTTCCTCAATGCATATCTTATTAGTCAAGTAATGGAAATCTTTCTTTTGTTGTGAGGGCAACATATTTGGCTCTCCGTAGATTTTTCTCTAACCTTAGTAGGTTGTAAATTTGTGGCACAATGTTTAACTACTAAATAATAAAAGCAACTTATGTGACTGATTACAAAGAAAACACACAATACAGCGTTTACGTAATTTATGATGTCATTTCATAAATAAGAAAATTGTAGGGATGCCTTTTAGATAAAATATATGAGTACATAGAACTATTTCTCTCCATAAGCCTTACAGATGCATTGGAGGCTCATGCACACTCCAAACAGAAAGAATTCCAAACCCAGTTTGAGCCCACTCTATAATAATATTCCTGAATCCTAAGGGGTACCTGTAGAGAAAAGAGGTTAATTAATGGCATAAGAAAATCATACTCATAATCCAATAAGTAATCATATGCACAAGAGAAAATCTTACCAAGTTCAGGAGGGATAAATATTCCTCTCAGTTGTCTCCTTCGCAAGACAAAACAGAGGTATTTGGTATCAAACAAAGATAACAAACAGAGGTATTCTTTTCCTTAGGATCACACCCAAGGAAAAGAATAAAATAAATAACTTCTAATTTCCTCTTCTCTGAATTCATCATTCATATATACCTCATAGATTCGTTTACATCCACCCCCCAAGGATTCAGTAATGTCATTACAAATTGTTTTTTTTTTGTGAGAGAAGTTGACTTAACATTAAGAAATAAAGGAAGTTACAAAGAGTTGGATCCACGACACGTGGACCTCAGTTGAGTCATAGTCCCTGAGAGTAGGGCCAGACGATACAGGCTCAGACACACAGACAGCCAAAAAGGCTAACAAGACTAATAGAAACACCTGTTACTATAGCAGAAAGAGAAAAGCAAGGAAGGGGCTTATAGATTTGGCCCTTTACAATGTCATTTCAAATTGTTCCTGAACTAGGACCACAGCTTCGTCTATTCAGAGTTTGGATGTCTCTTCCAATCATTGGTGAGGCTCATGGAGGTGAACTTAGCCTATATCCTCATATTTTTTTAACCAAAAGACAACCAAAGTTTCTTTGTCATGCTTTCTACTTTATGAACTGACATCATTAAATTTTTGTAAATTTGAAAGTAATGTATGGTTTATATGTAAATGGCTTTCAGAGAGTTCTTTTTCTTTAGTCAGTAGTTAAACAATATGCAACAACAATACAACATGCCGGGGTTAGATTGATAACTGGGAAGAAGGAAAAAAGTCAGCAGCCAAATGACACAAATCAGCAATTACATGGGTTGAAAACAGAAAAACTCAACGAGATAGTCTCGAGCATAACTCTTTAAGATTCAATGTACTGAAATCCTTAAGCAAGAAAATACCTATTGGGGCCACAAAGAATGAGTGTCACGATTGGATAGGTTGATATATCATGAATCTACTAGGTTTTTTCATTGTATGAGTAACATCCAGACACTTACAGGAGGCATGAGTCCACTATGTTGACAAGTGGCAATGGAGGGAGGCTGAAAATTTGAGAGATGATTTAGTACACTGTGTTCGGCACAAGGTTGTCATACACTAAATGTTGGAGTCCAATCATACACCAAATGTTGGAGGCCAATGCTCCAACCGGAAACTATGATAGCCGGTTAAAATATGCCTCGATACACAAAATGAGCAAAGTGCATTATCCTAGAGTGGCCAATTTTTAACTGAATCCTGGCAGTTTTCTCTAGCTACCTTGGGGCATAACTTTGTGTTATTTAGTCCAAGTGAACATCTTGGACACAAAAGTAATGAGGGGGTCAAACGAAGTTTACAATTTGGACAGGCAAAGCTTTGTTGATGTCCTTACAACTTGGAAGAGGTAAGGTTTTGTCACAAGGGGAGAATCATCCTTTGAAAAGCTAATTAAGTGAATCTTCATACAGAATGCATGTCATTCTTTCGCATGAGAATTATCATCATCACATCCAAGCCTTATCCCAACTATTTGAGGTGGGCTACACGGCTCTTGTTCTGCCGTTCTGCTCTATCAAGAGTCATATCCTCAATCAAACCATAAGTCATCAGATCTCTTCTCCCTACTTTCATCCATATCCTTTTGGGTCTGCCTCTTTGCCCTTTTAGAGCCTTCCACTTGAACCAAATCACCTATCCTAAACCATGTGGTATAAGGTCTACGTTGTATATGGCCAGCCCACTTAAGTCTACTTTCCCTCATCTTGTCGCCTATTGGAACTACCACTAAATTCCCTTGTATGTATTCATTTCGAATTCTATCATTTTCTGTCTCGCCACTCATCCATCTCAATGTCCTCATGTCATCTATACTCATCGTATGGATATGTTGTTTCTTAACTATCCATCGTTCCAACCTATAAAGCATGGCTAGTCTTACAGCCGTCCTATTAAACTTCCTTTTCAATTAAACTGATATGTGGCAATCACATGAAACTCTGGATGCAAATCTCTACTTTGTCAACCCATATCTAATTCTATGATTGACATCTTCTGCAATCTCTCCATTATCCTAGATTATTGACCCAAGATATCGAAAATAACCTCTTTTAAGTATTCATTAGCCATCAAACATAACTACTTCTCGTCTCTACTCCTATTATTACTAAATTTGCATTCCATATATAGTTTGTCTTCATCATGCTAATTATAAAACCTTTATATTCTAGAGCATCCCTCTAAAATTCTAATGTTGCGTTGACACAGCCTCTAGCCTCATCAATCAAAACGATGTCATTAGCGAACAACATACACCACGTCACCTCATCCTGTAGATGCCTAATTAACCCATCCATGGCCAAAACTAGTGTAGTTGTCCTCACACTAGTTAGTGCTTCCTTGTACATATCTCTTACCATGTCAATAATTCCTCTAAAGACTCTTTTCTTTTTCAACACCCGCCAAATTAACTTTCTAGCTACCCTATCGTATGCTTCTCTACATCAATAAAGGCCACAGGGAGGTCTCTTCCCTTCTCCCTAAACGTCTCAATTAGTTGCCTAATTAAGAAAATAGCCTCAATTGTTGACCTCTCTTGCATAAAAACGAACTAATTTCTGGATACACTTGTTTCATGTCTTAATCATTGCTCAATCACTTTCTCCAACAACTTGATAGTGCGGCTCATAATTTTGATCCTTCAATAATTCATATAGCTATGTATGTCACCTATGTTCTCGTAAATATGTACTATAATAATTTTTCTCCATTCTCAACACCTTGTTCAACAGCTTGGTCAGCCAGAATATATCGATCTCTCCCATGCACTTTCAAACCTCTATTGAGATGCCATCAGGTCCTAAAGTCGATACAACCTTCATCTTTCTAAAAGCTTCTTTCACTTCAAATATCATTATCCTGTGAATGTATCTATGACCTCTGACCTCATTTAGGTCGAAAGTTTCTTCGAACGTTGTGCTCTCAAAGTGCTCGTCATTTAACAATTTTTGAAAATAAATTTGCCACCTTTTATTAAACTAGCTATCCTTCACCAACACCCTAGATCGTCACTCTTAGGGAATTTAATATAATTTAGATCCTTACACTTCTTCTCTCTCATTTTTGCTAGTTTAAAGACATACCCTAGTTTATTGAATAGATCATCCTATGACTTTTTTTAACTTAATAGAGCATTGTATGCCTCAAGTTCAGCCTTACCATGTTCTTATTTTTTCTTAGCATTTTTATATGGACCTAGTTTCTATGCGGCCAAGCCCACATATGTAGAAATGCGGGGCTCTTAATAAATCTATTTTTGAGATGGATTTTAGGACTTAATTTTTAAGGACATGTAATCTCTAGGATGGAGATGATGAATACGAAAAAATAAATAAATTTTAAAACCTAGAAATAACATTTCCAGTAAGAAAACATTGTTTCCATTGTTTTTAAATGGAGCACCTACTTGCATCCATCTTTAAAATGGATGATTTACACTTCTTGGACTGCATATATAGAAATGCGGTCCGCATGAAACAATTTTCCATTTTTTATTCTTCTAAGTTTTGGTCTTTTCTATTATATTGTCAAGCTTTATAACATGATCGTTTTTCTCTAATAGACTTTTGAACCTCATCACTCCACCACCAAGTTTCCATATCGAAATTTCTTTTCCCTTTGAATTCTCCTAAAACTTCTTTTGCCACTTTATTAATACAATTTTTTCGCATAAGAATATCTACCAAAAACAAGATTGACATTTGTATGGGTGGCAATGGGCCACGTGGCCCAGGTTAGGGGCAACAAATTTGCCACAAGAACCAGGGCAGGGCTTGAAATCTAGACCCATTGTCCAAGGCCAGGCCCGGCCATGCTTTCTTTGTTTTCTTTATATTTTTCTTAAAAAAAGGTTTCATATCTAATGGCTTGGCACAGCCTGGCACAACTCCATTAACACGGCCAGGATGGGCACCTAGCCCAAGCCTAGGGCCGTTCTTGGGCTAGGGCCACTTTGGCCAGGACTGGGCTGGGCAGGGCCCTCAAGCAGGCCCGGCAAACCTCTAGAGTCTAGGACCAAGCTCAAGCCATCCCTCGACTAGCTTCAGAGGGGCCCATTGCCACCCCTATCAAGAATTTTGTCTAGCATAAAGACCAAAGGGAGAGAGTCCACTTAGATAAGTGATTGGAGGTTCACAAACTAAAGGGAAACCTAAATGTGGGGGAAAGTCAGTGAGGCTCTTTTGTCTCACTGGATTGGGAGGATGGTTAGTAAGGACAACATTTTTTAATAAGTCTTAAGAATGCATGTGAGGAGGATGAGAGGTACAAGATGGTATCAAACATAGGTTGAAAATTTTGGAAGAACGCACCATCTTTCAGGAAAAATGGGTCGTTATGAATTCATGTGTATGGTAAAACTTACCAAGACATGAATGTGTCCGACACGTGCTCAACATGTTACATATGCAATGAGACAACTCGGACATGCATGTGGCATGTCTTGAAAAGCTTCATGTAAGGCACGTGCTTCTTGGAGTGTTTGCCATCGACAAGTGTTAGACACGCGCTTCTTCAAGTGTCAACCATTAGATATGAGTGTGACTAACTCTAGACACATGTTTGTCATTTAGAAACACATCCATAACTCTAGACACGCGTTCATCACTTAGAGACACATGTCCCTAACACATGTATATGCAATACAGACAAACATGTCAATAAGCATCCATTTTTTAACAAATTTTATTATTAAGAGCTTAAAATAATTTTATACTACTCGAGTGCACGTGCTTTTGCATGTATTTAATTGCCTAAAGAATTGAATGAAAATATACAAATTTTACCATTTAAAAATACAGAAAATCTGCAAATGCAAATAGATGATGTACAGTGATTATTGGCTGATTTATGGAAAGGATCTCTCTCTAGGTCTCTATAAAGCTCGTTTTTGTCTTCAAACTTTGGAAACCTTCATTGGAGATAAAAATGTCTAAAGAGTCTCTATAAAGCTCATTTCTATCTTCAAAAGTTTGGAAAATTTTCATTGGAGATAACTTGACTTAAGATATGGATAGGCACATACATATCCCCTGCACTTTTGGATCTCCTTTTAGATATCTCTCACTCCCCTGCCAATTTGGAAACCCCCTCCGTCCCTCTCTCGCACCAATCCTATGCCCTCTCACAGTTCTCTCTCCTTCTTTCTCGGTCAGCCATCCTAAGCGCTCTCTCACAATGGACCTCTATTCTCGTTGATCACCTTGTGTCTCACCCTACCCTTAACTGTTGTTATAAATAAATTATCCAGAGAAGCGATGCAAAATACCAATAAAATCTACACCTAAATCAAAATCTATAACACACTGTTTAAAATTTAAAATACCATACCAAAATCTAGAAAAAACTGAAAACGATAAAAAACATGAACCTACACCAAATCTAGAACACGAATCATCACCATGGAAATCAAAAACAACATAAACACCCATGCTCTAGAATTACATGCGTAATCATTCTTATCTAAAGTGGGTCGAACTAAAAAATATTATACATGTCTCAGTCATCTCATTCCACTCAGCCGCTTCTCCTTCCATTTATGAAACCCACAACCTGTCTCCATCTGAATCAGATATTAAATAATCAAGCATATATGGGATCAAAACTGAAAGGAGGAACAATTTGGAGAACTTGTACTCCAGATTTTATTTCAGTATCATTATTTTTTGATGCAAAGAATTTTATGCTTTGAATAGGTTTGTGAACAAGAGATTACTTCAGATTTTTTTTTTTTTTATACTTTACTTCAGATTATTAATACTGGAAAACAAAAACAGCCTCCTAAACAAACAAACAAGATAGAAACTGATTATTCCTAATAATGAAGCAGAATGCTAGATCATAATTATCGAACATGGGAGGTAAACAGATGGATACATAAAGATAGGAATAAACATGACACTTAGTACACGGACTTGAGAACATTGAGAAAACCATATAAAACCCAACACAAACAGTGGCATGCAAAGATTAATTAGGAGTAAGAAACAAAAGAAATTTACAAAAACAACATATTAATAATATAAGGGAAATTAAGGTAAACATCCTTACTTTCTAGGAATATTTAAAAAACAACCACAAAATTTTAAATTTTATGTATATGTTCCTTTTCCCCCTTTCTTTTTTTCCCAAAATTCCCAGTATTTGGGACTCTCAGTTCTGAACTGTGCTAAAGTTGTTTTTTGCGAAAAAACATTATTTAGTACTGAGAGTACCGAACACATTCATGCCTGAACAAAGTTTCGTACTAAGAGTACCGAACAACTATTAAAAAATAAAAACCGAAAGTGTTCAATACTCTCAATACCCAGCATGAGAGAAAGACAATAGTTTAGTATTGAGAATACCAAGCATAACATGTAAAAGAATATATTTCTTGTTACTAGTAATACCGCACTTAATTAAATGAATGAATATATTCAGTACAGTCATTACCAAATAATATTTTCCACAAAAGTTGGCTTCAATCCAGCTCGGAACTAAGAGTACAAAAATGGGCATTTTGAGAAGGGAAAATAAAAATGACATCTACATAAGATTTTAAATTTTCAGGACATTTCAAATATCCCTAAAAAACGGATATTCACATGATCCCTAAATATCATCATCCAAGCCTTATCCTAGCTATTTGGGTCAGTTATACATATCATATTAAGCCATTCCGTTGTATCAAGGGCCATACCCTCAGTCAAACCATAGTCAATCCATCTCCTCTTACTACTTCCATCCACATCGTTTGAGCCTTCTACTTGCACCAAATCATCCTTCCTAACCAGTGGTTTTCTAGATGGACACTACACATGGCCAGACCACTTAAATCTACTTTCTCTCATCTTATCGTTTATTACAGCTACCCTTGACTTCCCTTAGATGTATTCATTTAGAGTTCTATCCTTTTTTGTTTTGGCACTCATCTATCTCAACATCCTCATGTCAGCTACACTCACTCGATGAATATATTGTTCTTAACGGCCACATTCTGTCCTATAAAGCATGGTGGGTCTTACAATTGTCTCCCCTTAAGTTTAATTGGCAACGATCACATAACACTCCAGAAGCGAATCTCCATTTTGTCCATATAACTCTAATTCTATGTAACATTTTCCTCAATCTCTTCATTCTTATAGATTATCAACCGAAGATATTGGAAATAATCTCTATTATGTCCTTCTTGGCATCAATTTTAACTAATATCTCGTTTCTACTCCTATTATTGCTACATTTGTGTTCTATATATTCTATCTTAGTCCCACAATTCTTAAAACCTTTTGTTTCTAGAGTATCCCTCCAAAGTTCTAACTTTGCATTATCGTCTCTAGTCTCATTGATCAAAGCTATTAGCTATGCCATCCGCAAACAACATACCTCACAGTAACTCATCCTATAGAAACCTAGTTAACTCATTCATAACCAAAACAAAGAGATATAGGCTCAACGGTGACCCCTGATGTAGGCTTATAATAATTGGAAATTCGCTCGTCTTTCCACCGGTTGTCCTCTCACTAGTTAACACTCACTCATACAAATCAACATAACAATTAGTTCACAAACAATATAAACTGAACACAACAGAGGACTTGCGTGCAAAGATTAAGCACAGGCAATTGGCAAGTAGTTCAAAATAAAAGCCAATGCTCCTAACAATAAACATATTAGCTAGCTCATGAACTGGAGATGAAACAACAAAAGACCCACTACAAAAAGGCGACATGCAAAGAGATAAACTCATGTAAAACCAAATACTAGAAAGTGGCATGCAAGTATCAACCAGAAGAAAATAGCAAATTATTCCATAAAAAAAACCCAAATACAAGATAGCCAATAAAATATACATAGAAATTAGCTCATGAACTTGAGATCAATGATAAAATAAAGCAAAACCCAATTTAAAAAAGTGACATGCAAAGATTACTCAGAATCTACTAGCAAACGACACTATAGACAAGCATTATACCTGGCAAATATTGAACACATCGAATGGATTAACTGGATTATTCTCCTAAATTTGATGCTTCGCTGAACCCACTTCAGTTAGGGTGAAGCTCTAAGGGGCCAAAACCCCTATTCCCAATTGTTTCAAAGCCATGCAAATTGAAACCCCCATCTGTGGAGAAATTGGGGTATTTCTTTGATGGATGCATGTTTGGAGAGAGAGAAAGTAGATTGAAATTGAAGTCTTCTTGAGAAAGCCTTAGTTTGAGTATCGGGATCGAGAGGGAGTAAGAAAGCCATAGAAGGTATAATAGATTACAACGAGCTCAAATTCATTGGAAGAGAGAGACAATGAGGGGTATATATATGGCCCGGCCACATAAATAAATAGAGAGAGAGAGTGGAAAGTTAGAGAGAGAACGGAAAGGTCCGTAGAGAGAGAGAAAGAGAGGGAGCCACAGTGGAAGAAAGAAAAATGTCGAAATGATCACTCTGGCCTACTCTCACATCTCTCTTCATAATTGACTAAACTGCCCTTCCCCCACCTGTCTTCTTCTTAATAGAGTCGAAGGTTTTGACAGGTTAGCAACGGGCCTGGACCCGGACCTAAAAATACATTACTGGACCGGGACTGGGACTTGGGTTTGGACGCAAACCCGCATCTGAAAATTACAAAGGGATACGGATGTTGACTCTGGCCCGATAGAGAGAGAGAGCAGAATGTCTGTTATAATGCATGTTGGGCACACAGCCTTTAGCAAGGGATAATGATTGTGTGCTAAATAAATAAATTTTTTTATTTGGTGAATAAAGAGAGATCACGCCTGTACATTTTCATGTTCGGCATGTAGCCTTGGCAAGAGAAATATTTGCATGTTCAATAAATGAATTTTTTTATTGGATGAACATAGAGAGAGAGAGAGCACGCCCTCTTACAAGTGCATATTGGGCACGTGGCTTTCGTGAGTAGAAATGATAGTGTGTTAAATAAATAAATTATTTTTAATAAGTGACCTTTAACAAAGTAAATGTTCGTATGTTCAAAAAATAAATTTTTTTATTGGGTGAATAGAGAGATGGCACCCTTTTACAACTGTATGTTAAGCACGTGACATTTAACAAGAAGATATGATTGTGCGTTAAATAAATGAATTTTTTTATTGGGTGAATAGAGAGAAATCACGTCTGTATAACTGTATGTTGGGCACCCTTGGCAAGGGACATGTTCGTATGCTCAATAAATGATTTCTTTTATTTGGTGAATAGAGAGGGAGCACGCTCTCGTATAGTTGTATGTCGGGCATGTGGCTCTTAGTAAGGCGAAATGATTGTGTTAAATAAATGAATTTTTTTATTGAGTGAATGGAGAGAGCTCACGTCTGTATAATTGCATGTTGGGCACGTGCTCCTTGACAAAAAAAAATGTTTGTATGCTCGTTAAATGAATTTTTTTATTAGGTGAATAGAGAGAGAACATGCCCTTTTGCAACGGCGTGTTGGGTTGCGTAGCCTTTAAGTAGCGAAAATGATTATGTGCTAAATAAATAAAAATTTTTATTGGTGAATAGAGAGAGATAACGTCTGTACAGCTGCATGTTGAGCATGTGGCCCTTGGCTAGGGAAATGTTTGCATGCCCAATAAATGATCTTTTTTATTGGGTGAATACAGAGAGAGAGAGAGCACGCCCTCTTACAACTACTGCATGTTGGGTACGTGGCTTTTAGCAAGGGAAAATGGTTGTGTACTAAATTAATTAATTTTTTTATTGGGTGAATAGATATGTACCAACTGCATGTTGGGCACGTAGCCATTGACAAGGGAAATTTTTACATGCTCAATAATTGAAATTTTTTACTGGGCGAATTGCATGGTGGACACTTGGCCATTGACAAGAGGAAATGATTGCGTCCTTGGGTTTCATTAGTAGTTGGTTTAAACCAATGATTTAAAAAATGTCGAATCGCTTGGTTTGACTCGAAAATTGACAATGAATGTGTCGATTCGGGTAAATTATATGGAATCGTCCGATTTTATAGAGAATCGGGCAATTTTGTACAGTGACTCGTCGATTCACTGTACAGAATCGACGAGTCCCGTGAAAAATACAGGCTGTACAGTGTTTTTCACGGGATTCTTCAAAATTTGTTATTTTTTTATTATTTTTCTTATTTTTTTGCCTTGTGATCGAATATACAAACTTTATGCAGCTTTTTTCAGCCTTTTCATGGATTAAATGGTGGAGAAATTTCATGTTTTTTATCATGAAAGTTGTGATTTTAGGGTTTCCGCCTTTCCTTGTGTTGCAAGCCAAATAGAGTATGAATCTGTGAAAATTTGTAGGCATTTTGATCGTAAAGTTGTTTATCAAAAAATACGAATTTGTGATAATCGTTGAGAAAAACAGAGTAATTTGGAGATTGAATGCACCGGTTTACGAAACCAGGTAAGAACTTTGGGTTTTTTTTTTCCCGCCATATGATCAATTTCACTGCATATTTTGAAAATAAGGAGTTACATTTGTAGGGTTTTTAATCTTTAGTGTGTCTTTTATCATTTAACATATTCAATTTTATTTAATTTGCTCAATTACAGCCTGATTTTTTTAGATGAACACAGTGATGTCTGTGGAAAAAAATTTCTGCTATTTTTTTTTTTTTCTGTTTTTCGATTTTTCTGTTTAACAGATCGGGCACCGCCAAAACCGATCCGAATCGACGATCCAGATCAGGAATCGGGTGAAACGGTCAGAATAAAGCTTCAACAAAATCCGAAAACATTATTAAAATTCATTATAAATATTGTTTTTTAGGAATTCAAA